GCCGGGCTCTCCCGTCTCCCATCCCCCCCTCACGGGGCCGCGCCCGGTTCTCCCCTCACGGCACCGCGCCCGGCGCTCTCTCTCTCCCTCCCCTCACGGCACCGCGCCCGGCTCAGCCCTGCCGCCCCTCAGCCTACCCCCAGGCCCTAGGCCTCACTGATGGCTCACCGGGGCGGGTCCTGCCTGCCCGGCCGGGGGCTGGCGACACCGAGCCGCCCGCGCCGCCACTCCACTCCCCGCCGCCCGCTCCCCGCCGTTCGAATCAACAACAAGATGGCGGCGCCCGAGGGGGCGGGGCCCCGATGCTGGCCGTCATAGCAACCGCGCCGTCCAAATCCCGCCCCGCCGCCGCCGGCCGCAAGCCAGAGCCCAGCCCCTCCCACCGAGGGCGCTCGAGCAACGCTGATAGGTTCAAATAGCCGTCACTCAAGCGCAGAACAGCCCCGCCCCCTTTTCCTTGCGCCGGCTGCCTCCGGACGGCCACGCACGTTAGGCACACGTGACGCCCGCCGGTGCCCCGCCTCCCCGCGGGCTCTGCGCCGCCTCATTGGCTACCCGCGGGGAGCCGCTGGGCCAATGGGTAGGGGCGGCGGGAGCGCGCGGGCGGGGCGGCGGGGTGAGGAGCGGGCGGGCTTTCCGCCATGGCTCCGCTCTGTCCCCTCTCCACCGCCGGTATGAGCCGCCTCACATCTCCGCCCGCCGCTCTCCGCCTTCCCCCGGGGCCTCGGGGGAGCGCGGCAGAGCCCGGGGGCGGCCTGGTTCCGGTTGGCGCGGGGGTTAGGGCTGGCTAAACACAGCTTACCCCCGCCGCGGCCTAGCCCCCCGGGGGGTGCTCCTCAGGCCGGGCCGGCCCCCCGGGGCAGCGGGCGGAACGTGTTCGCACACCGAGCCCGTGCCGTAAAAGGTTGGATTCCCCAGCGGTCACGGTTCCTGTGGGCTCAGGGCAAGGCCCCAGCCAAAGCCGCAGAGGTGTCCCCGCTTCCCTGTGCGATCCCAGGGCTGGCTCCTGCCCGCCCCCCCGCCTTCCTCCCCTTTAGCCCCTAAATTAGTCTCTTTCCTCTTATCCCGCTTCATTATCCCGAGGCGCGCTTCTTTGAAATTCAAATACCCGGTTTCCCACCTCCCCGCCCTCACTGACTCCTTCAAAGCCCTCCCGCCCTTCCCCAGGCCCTGCTAACTCTTCCCGCACTGCTAATTTGCTTTTCCTCCCCATTAAGAAACCCGGCCCCTCCGCCGCCTGGCTGCTCCTCCCACCTGAGCAAGGCAGAGCTGGAGGGGGACACGGGACAGGGGCAAAAGTTTCTCAGAGTCACCCGGTGATGGAGTTTTCTTAGAATCATAGAATCGTCTAGGTTGGAAGGGACCTTAAAGATCATCTAGTCCAACCATCAACCTAACTCTGACAAAAAAAATAAATAAGAAAAAAACAAGCCACTAAACCATATTCCCGAGGACCATGTCAACCCATCTTTTGAACACCTCCAGGGATGGTACCTCAACCACTTCCTTGGGCAGTCTATTCTAATACTGGATAACCCTTTCGGTGAAGAAATGTTTCCTAATATCCAATCTAAACCTCCCCTGGCACAACTTGAGGCCATTTCCCCTTGTTCTATCTCTTGTGACTTGGGAGACGAGACTGACCCCCGCTTCTCTACACCCCTCTTCAGGTAGTTATAGAGTGCAATAAGGTCTCCCCTCAGCCTCTTGCCCCAGCTCTTCTTGCCCCAGCTTGTGTCTCTCCAGAGGACTGCCCCGTCTGGGTCACGTCCGGAGGCTATGGAGACGCTGCCGTGAGCAGGGCAGACCCTGCCAAAGCCCTCGGTGTGGTTTTTGAAGTGACAACCCCAGCCCAGGGCTGGTGCCGCCGTAACCACCGTCCAGTTCTTGGGTCGTGCCACCAATGTCCCTGGCATTAATGACCACTGCAACAGGACAGCCACCGGCGGGACCGCTCAGCCACGGCACTCCCTACGGCAATCACGGCAGCGGGTGCAATCTCTGCCACCGTTTATTGGGTCGATGCTGGCAGCAAGTTCAGCCATGGAGGAGGGCTCTCCTCCTCCTCCCAGGACTGAGGGCTGCGCCGGGTGTCTGCTGGTGCCCAGCGCTCTGCCTGGCACAGCCCATGGGCAGCTCTGGGTCTCGGGGAGCCCTTCTCCGGGTCAAGCCGCTCAGATCCAGCGCCGTGCCCCAGTCACGCTGTTGAAGAGATAATCCCTGCCGGTGCCTGAGAGGGGAGGCAGGATTCAGCCAGGCATCGCTGCCCAGCGCCCATCTCTCCTGTCCCCCAGGTCCCTCTGCCCTGAGGGACGCAGCCTGAGGATACAAGGGCTGTGGGACAGAGCACTCACGTGGGTCCTGGGCACGGCCATCGAACTGCCCCTGTGCAGATGGGAGAGGGTGCTGAGGGCCCTGGGGTGCTCCCCCACAGCCCTGGTGGGGCACCCGCTCTGGCTGCCGTGGCACACACTTACCGGGCTGCTGGTGTCGGGGTGGCCCCGCTCCTCTTTGCCACCCTTCTGCTCCACCACATCCCAGGAGCTGCGGAGGGAAGAGGAGGCGAGGGGAGGGCACGCCGTCAGTGACAGTGATGGGCCCCCATGATGCCAGGAGCAGGTTGCCAGTCAGGTTTGCACCGATGGCCAGCTGTGCCCCATCGAGCCTGTGACCCACCTACCTGATTGTCCCCTTACCCAGCCCTTGTGTCCCTTGGGCACTGAAGGGAACTGCGGCAGGGGCCATGTTTCCCCAAGCACCACTACCTTTCAACAATGCCCAAAAAGTGCCACCTCATTTGCTTGTTCCCCCACGTGCCGGTGCTCAGAGGGTGCTGTGCCGGGGGAGCTGGAGCCCCCCTTTGCTGCCAGTGCTCCCTGCAGGGGCTGAGCCTGAATCTTCTCCCTTTCCTGGTCGCCACCAAGCCCTGTGTCCCCACCTCACCAACGAACGTGGATCCAGCCGTGCATCACCCTGGGGTGGTTACGCTGCTGGAGGTGGCTGTTGTCCTGCCCGCGGGCTTGCACACCGCCTTCTCACCATGCAGGCGCCCGGCGCAGGCTGGGCTGGCTCCAGTGCCTCCTCAGGCTCTCTGTCTGCCGCCTCTCACCCCTGGTTCATCCCCCCGGGGGATGTGCAGGCTGCTCACCTCCTACCCGGGGCATCTTCCCCGGCAAATTGGGACTCCCCTGGTGAGCTGCAGTGGCCCCAGCACCAACCCTGTGGTGGGCACTGGTGGCCATCCCACCATGCCCACCACAGATTTTCCACCTCAGCCTGACCCCTGTCGTGGCTGTCCCCCGGCCAAATCGCCGTCTCTGCACCCATGGCTGCACCCTGGGGTGGAGATGGCTCCCTGGCACAGTGACCCACAGACCACAGCCAAGACTTGGGGTGCATTAAACACCCCCCATGCGCTGCGGCTGCCTGCGAGGACATGACAGGAACCTGTGCCAACACACATGGCTGCCCCTCGCTGCTGACACAACCACTCATCCATGCAGCACCCACCTCTGGTCCACGAGCAGCTTGCCAGGGGCTCGGTGGCTGCGGAAGGAGCAGAGGGCAGCCATGAGCCCCTGGCCTTGCCCACTGCACCGTGCCATCCCACGCTGTGCAGCCCCATGGGGCCAGGGCTCACCGGCACAGCAGGCTCCGGGCCGTGCAGCCCAGGGTGGCCAGCAGCAGGGCGCTGGTGACGGTCAGCACGGCCACAAACCAGGCTGGTGGGTGCCACATCTCCTCCGTGCGTGTGATGACCAGCGGCTCCTTCTGCAGCGTCTGCAGAGGCAGGGGGGTGAGGGGACACAGAAGGTCCAGGGGGCCTGATGGACCCAGGACCACCACCTGGCTCTGCTCACCGTGTGCCGGGTGGTAGTGCTGCTGGGTGGCACCGGGGTGGTCCGGGGGGTGATGTGCACCACCAGTGGCACCACGGTGCTGCGGCGGGGGACACTGGGGCTGCCCCACACCTCCACCAGCAGCATGAAGGTGCGGGGCTCAGCTAGGTCATCGGGGAGGTAGAAGAGGGTGTTCCCCTCCAGCCGAAAGCGCCCATCTTCGTTGCCTGGACGAGAGGGTCTGCTCAGTGCCACACCATGGTGAGGGGCTGGGATGTGCTGTGGCTCAACCACTCCTCACCTCCAGCGATGGCGTATGTCAGCGCGGCGCCACCGGGGCTGTCCTGGCACGCCAGGCGGGTGACGGGCTGGCGGCCACCCAATCCGGCTGTGATCTGAAGCTCCTGCACCTCAGGGGTGCACACTGGTGCCTGGTTCAGTACGGCCTGCCCGGCAGTGGGGGTGGAGGGGAGATGGTATGGCACCCATGGTGCTTGCACCCACTGTGGTGCACCCACCGGGCTTGCCCCCAATACCTGCAGGCGGACGAGCACGTTGCACAGGCGGCTCCGCCGGTTTGTCGGGTCCAGGTCGTTGCGGGTGTCCGTCAGCCGCACCGTCAGCCTGTAGCTCTTGTGCCGCTGGTAGTCGAGGGGTCCCACCACCCAGATCTCGCCTGTGGGGCAGCATGAGCACCCATGGGTGCTGGGAGGGGGGGGTGCATGTCAGGTGCTGGGGAAAGGGCTGGGTGCTCACCAGTGCGTGTGTCGATGGAGAAGGGCTGTGTGGGGCCAGTGCCCCCCTCCAGGCTGTACTCGAGGCTGTTCGGTGGGTAGTCACGGTCGGTGCCGACCACACGCCCCACGGCACTGCCAAAAGCCGCCGTCTCCAGCACGGTGAAGTCGGCACTGCTGGGGCATGTCGGTGTGAATTCATTGACGGGTGTCACCATCACAAGCACGGGCACACGGGCTGTGTGGCACAAGGTGGCTCAGCCACGCTGGCACCACCCCACAGCCCACACTGGGCTGGGCGTCATCCCCCCGGAGAGTCTGGGGGACACGGGGATGGTGACACCACTCCTGGGGTGGGCATCTCTGGGGCAGCAGAGAAGGAATGTTTCCTCTGTGATCTGCTGGATTTTTGGGGTAGGGAAGGGCCTTTTCCCACACTCTGGGCACCCCTTGGGGGACACAGGCACTCACTACTCCGCGGGGGCTGGCCACCCGCTGTCACCACGATGGTGGCCGTGAACTGGAAGCCTACAGCAGCCATGGCCTCCGAGTCATAGTCCAGGGTGGTGTTGACCTGCCGAGCCAAGGTGGGGGGGTCACACAGAGGAACCAGGGAGCCCCTGCAATGCTGTGATGCCGGGGAAGCCAGAGAGGGTGTGTGGGGGGTAGAATAGGCAGGCCTGGGGGGGGGCTAGAGGTGCCCAGGACCCCCAGCCCAGGTCCTGGTGTGACAGCACATGTCAGAGGGTCCCCACTGACCTGCAGGTCCTGGACACAGCCCATGGCCCCCTCACCTGCAGCCGTGGCCCCTCCATGTGGAAGTGGGAGAGGGAGGTGGGGGACCCCTCGAGGGCGTAGCGCAGGCAGTCCTCCGTGCCGGTGGGGTCAGTGCACCTCAGTGTCACCAAGGTCTCACCAGGGGACACCGTCTCGGGCACCTGGGACCTGTGGCAGGGTGGCTAGCGCCTCAGCTCCCGTCCCCCACGTCAAAGGGACGGAGTGGCATTCCCCACACCCCACTCTCCCCCCAAAACCGTACACGGAGATGGCGGGGGCGCAGCTCAGGGCCCAGCGGTCCGTCCCCTGCACGGTGATGTTGAGGGTGGCGGTGTCACTGTCGGCGGGGCGCAGGGCGTTGTAAGCCCGGACAAAGAGGCGTGTGTGGGCCACCTTCAGCCGGCCGGTGCTGCGGATCTCACCCGTCACTGTGGGACAAGGCACAGCCTCGCGCCGGGCACGGGGACAGGGTGGCCCTGAGGACCCCCGCCACCCCACTCACTCTCATTGATGGTGAAGAGGACGGGTGCCACAGGAGCAAGGATGGCATAGCGGACATTGTCACCGCTGGCGCGGACCTGTGTGACCACCTCCAAGGGTCTGGTGCCCTCCGGCACTGTCACCTCCCGCTGCAGCTCGCTGCAGGCAAGATGGGCAGCGTGGTACGGCCTGGTGACACCAGTACCCCCCACCCGGCCCAGCCCCACTCACAGGAAGGTGACAGTGGGACGGCGCGATGGCAGCACCTCCACCGTCACAGCCCCGCTGCAGTTGTGCCCATGGCGGTCTGTCACCTCGATCTCCAGCCTGAATGTCTGTGGGGCAGCGTGGGGGCAGATGTGGGACAGCCCCGAGGGACAGGGATGGGGACGGAGAGAGGGATGGGGATGAGGATAGTCATAGGGACAGGGACAGGAATAGGGATGGATGTTCCTGTCCCCTTTGGGGGACAGGAACAGAGACAGGAAAAGGAAGGGGGACAAGACTTGAAGCAGGACCAGGGGTGGGAATAGGGTTGGAGATGGAGATGGGGACAAGCTGGAGACCAGAATGGGTATGGAAATAGGGACAGGATTGGGACAGGACTCGAGATGCAGAAGCAGATGGGAGAAAGGACAGGAACAGGGCTGGAGGACTCCCAGGGCTGGTGGGGGGGAGATGGGAGCCCGATGGGAGGAGCAGGATGCAGAGAGCTGTGGGCAGTGACAGTGAGGGGCTAAGCTCAGGCAGGCTGAGGTGGCTGTGACAGCTTGGGGACACTGCTGCTCACCTGGGTGTCCTTGCTGGGGTCGAAGCCACCTGCAGGAGCCAGCACCAGGCCCCGGTGGGTGAGCGTGAGTGGCGTGTCTGGGTTTCGGAGCCTGAACTGCTGAGAGACAGGCAACAGGAGGAGGGTGGCAACCACTGTCCCCCCCACCATGCCCAGTGTCCCACTGTCCCCAAAGCTGCCCCTGCTTGTGGGGGCTGTGGGAGCCCGGGGCAGCCACCACTCACCGTCAGCCCCCCGAGCGGCTGTGGTAGCACCACGTACAGGGGTGTCCGGGGTGCCACGTCCGCTGACACCCGCACCACATCTCCCCCTGCGGCACAGCATGGCCATGGGACCCCAGTGCCGGCTGGCACCCACGGCCCCTGCCACCCTGCACCCCCTTCTCCCCATCTCCTACCTGTGCTGGCAAAGGGGGCATCACAGCGCAGCACCTGCCCCGCTGTCACCCGGACAAAGAGTCTCTCTTCTACCTCCTCCTCACCGGGACAGGCGGCTCGCAGGGTCAGGGTGTACTGGTTCACCCGGTGGGCATCAAGCTCCGCACCGGCACGCAGTGTCACCTGCCACAGGGACATGGTGCTCAGCAGGGTGCCCGTGGGCTCCTGGCCCGCACCCCGTCCCCCAGCCGCACCTCTGCCCGAAACCTGGTGGTGGCTGTGGGGTCGGCGCTGATGGCGATGGGGTTGAAGGGGTGGCCGGGCTCCACGCCATGCAGGGTGACGTTGGGGCTGCCGCTCGCGTTGCTGCAGGACACGGTCACCTCAGCCACGCGGGTGCCTGGTGCTGCCTCCTCGCTCAGGGCCACCACAAGAGGCAGATCATGTAGGGCTGTCAGGAGACCCACGGGGACTGGCCTCGCACCAGGCCAGTGCCACCAACGGCTCGTCCAGCCGTGCTTAGGGAGCCCTGCTCCTGCACCTGGGCAACCCTGTGGGCAAGGGTCTCCTCGCAGGGTACAGCAGTAACCCAGGGCATCTGGCTCTTACCTGTTGCTCTGACGAAAGTCCCTGCAAAGAGGAGAGTGTCACCCTCGCCTGCCCGGGTGTGCCCTGGCAGCGCCCTGGGGAGGCCCTAGAGATGCCCCCGTGATGCTCCAGAGATGCCCCCAAGGTGGCCCAGTTATGCCCTGGCAATGCCCCATTGATGACCTGAGGACACCCTGGCCATCACCCCAGCCATGTCCCCTCCCCACCTGAACCCAACCAGGCAGCTGCTGGCCCCTCTGCCCATCCTGTGGCCAGCCTCAGGCACAGGGGGCAACCTGGGGGGACCTATTCCCTGTCCCCCTCCCCTCACTCCCCCACCCAGGGCCTGGCAAAGGGTGTCCCCCAACCTTCAAGTGCCTACCTGGGGCACAGAGACCAAGGAGGAGGAGGAGGAGGAAGGTGAGGCGTCCGTGCATGCCCATGGCTCGCTGCCTGTTTGGGACAAGCCGGAACCCGTTGCCAGGGGTGCTGGGCACCACCCTGGCCCAGCGTCACGCTGGCCATTCGTGGCTGCCAGCCCAGCCCCAGGGCAAGGACAGGGCACGGCCCCCCCGTGCCCCCAGCTCCCGCACACCTCTGCCACCAGCCCCTGGCCGTGCCCCGGGTGCCAGTCCTGGCTGCCATGGGGCAGGCGGGCAGCGACGCTCCCTCCGTGGGGGTTTTGCCGCCGCACCGCACTGCAGCACCACTCAGGGAAAACCGGGAAAATTAGCCAGGAGCTAATTTTTGGCCATGTTCTCCTTCATTTGCAAACCAGAGCCGCTTCTACCGGAATTCCTATTAAGCGTTATTAGCGCCCCAATTAATAGGCGCTGGCGGAGCACGGGGTCACCTCTCCCTCCTCCAAGTTTCAAACCTCTTTGGGCAGCCCGGTGGCCGCCGGTGCCCCGTAACGGGGCTGCCCTCCTTCCCGCCCAGCCTTCCCGTCCCCGGGACCCCCGGTTCCCCTGCGGTGCTGCCGAGCGGGTCCTGCCTCT